TGTCAAAAGCTGACTTCTCTGCTCTGGATAACAGATGTGTCTGGTGGAGGCATGGCTTAGGTCAGCTCTCGCTTGCTAGACCAAGGAGAAGGAATATGGTTTTACACTGAACCTTCGTCATGCAGGCAAAGCAAATCCTGTTGATAAGAGAAGGAGGAACTTTCCTCACCCCGTGCCTGTGATTACGGTTCATGGCCTGGCTCTGCCATCAGCTCCTGGTTTTGTGCAAGAGTGGAAGAGTTTGCTCTCCTCGCCTGGGTATTTCATCAGCCTCAGCTCATGCTGGTGCATCTTGCTGCTCAGTGATGTGCACCACCATCCCCTCCATAAGTTGGCAAAGACTGGCGTTCTCTGCAGCCCTGGTACGTGCCACGCAAGCCCTGATGCTCAGTAATGGAAAGCCAGGGCGTTAGAGCAGCTTGTCAAAAGCAAATCCCGCAGTCCTCTGGCTGCAGAGGACTTGCTGCCCGTGCCCTTCTGGTTCATCATTATTGGGGGAATGCAGGATGTCTGTGTTTACCATTTCCCCTGACATTTTTCTTTCCACCAGATCAGATTTAAATGAAAAATAATATATTTTTTCTCACCTTTATATTTTAAAGGGGAAAACTTTTCCACTTTATTGTGGAAAGCAGAGGAAAAGAAGCAAAGTGATGATGACACACCTTATTACCTACTGGCATTTGGCTTGAGGTTTTTTTGGGGTTTTTTTGCAGAGACTTCTCAGAGTTTGATTCCAGCTGGGAAGCAATAGGGCACCCTCACAGGCTGTTACATCTGGGCCCCTGCTCCTCCAGCAGTCATAGCCCCCTGGCATCATGTCATTTCATGGTGCATCCCCCTGGCATCGCACCATTTCGTGGTGTATCCCCCTAGCATCACATAATTTCATGGTTTATGCCCCTGGCATCATGCCGTTTCGTGGTGTGTCCCCCTGGCATCACCACATCAGTTCATGTTGTATCCCTCTGGCATCACTTCATCGGCTCTTACTTGAACAAAGCTCTCCCTGAATGCTCTGTTTCCTGGGAATACTGCTGAGCACATACATTGCCCTCTCCGTGGGATCCCCTGTAGCCTGCAGCACTCTTAATTGATTCAATTAGGGTATTATCTGACGAGTTTCCTGTTAATGAAGAAGCTGTCTGCCAATGTGTTAGCTGTTAATACAAAGCTGCTTTTGAAAGGCTCCCTCTCCCTGGGTGGCCCTGCTATCGCCTGCCCTGTTAATGGATGGCTCGGCCATGGGGACAGTGGGCTCCCACCATGCACACAGACTCACTGCACAGACATTTCTGAGTTAATAAGAAAAACAGCTAATTGATAAGATAAATTGTTGGTGGAGGTACATGTGGATAAACATGCCTTATCCTGCTGTGCTATTGTGGGGAGCCCCGCTGTGGGTCAGATCCTGCCCCGGGCCTGGCTTAGGGAGGCAGGGCCTGGCAGCCTTGTGGTCACCCTCCCTGCTGCAAAGGAATCCGTGAAAAGTGTGAGACAACAGCTTTCTGCATAATAAAAGCACACCAAAATGCTTTAAATGGCATCTGCTCCATTTTTTTTTTAAGATGCTGTCACAAATACTTAAAAATCATCTTGGAAGGGGAGGAATAATGGGGTTATTGTTTCTGTTTTCCTTTGTTTTTTTCCCGACCTGGCTGAGTGCATTGCTGAGAGCCAGACTTGGCCTCTCTGTGCTCTCCCATGCTCAGCAGGGATGGCTGCGCTCTGAGGGGCTGTGTGTTTCTGCCTCTCTCCCGCTCCATCTCCCCCTTTCCCTAGGCTCTTGGATGGCCAGGCAAGTCCTCCCTTCTGGAAATGTGATGTAAGCAGTCATCTTTGGAGCTTTGCTGCTGAGATGATGTGCGGGAGTCTCCCAGTGCCAGCTGCCTCCCTTCCACAGTTCCTTGCCCGCAGGGGAGTGCATTTCCCTGCTGAGGCTGGGGAGAAGGATGCTGTCCCAGGAAACCTGCTCTGCTCTGCCTGGCGTGACTCCATTTCTGCAGACCATCTCCTTATTGTGCATCCCTCCCGCAGGGCTTGTGGGTTTGCTGCACTTTTATCATTTTTCCATCCCTTTTCCAGGGCTGTGCCTGCTCTCCTTGGTTAAAGCACTGTAACAAGCCATGCCTGCAGAATCAGCAGGAGCATGGATACAGGGAGCCTCAAAACTAGAGACCTGCCAGCTGGCTTCCTCCGCATCTCTGGAGCATCTCTTGGCGCTGGAGCTGACCTTTTCCCATCGCTACTCCATGTTTTTCCTTGCTGCAGCTTTACAGCACGTAGTGCGACAGATGAACCGTCAGCCCATGACCCATGGACTGGATTTCTGTAGACGTGTGCTCTTGCATCTTGCAAACGCAGACTGCCTGCCGTGGTTACAGCCGGCGCTGAGGTTGTTTTCCTTGGAGTAGGTTTTTAGCTTTTTCTTCAACCACAGGCTCAGGCCTAGTAAAACTGATGAAGTGGTGTTTGCTGCTGCCTTCTCTGGAGCTGCATGATGTGGCAGCCAGGCTGGGTGCGATCCATGAGACTGACCTCTCTGCCTTGCTCCTTCCCCACCTTCTTCTCTCTCTGTGCATGCTGGAGGATGCTCCAGGCACCTTGCAACCTCTTTTTCTGCAAGAGAAGAGGTAGCAGCTTGTAAATACACAAATATAATGGTACCGACCTATGGCAGGTGGTGCATGGTCCATCTGTTCAGGCTGGCGTGATGCCGGTAGCTCCGGGCTGGGCTGGAGGGGAGCAGGGTGGCTGCAGGGAGAGAGTCCCCAGGCTGCTCACTGAGCGGCTGCTGCGAGAGGCACTTTCGGTCAAACAAAAGGAAATGGAGAAGTTCTGGGTTGAAGTTTTGGCCAGGCTTGGTGGGATCACATGGCTGGGAGCAGATCGGGCCAGAGGCACAGCCCAGGCACGTGCGTACGGGACAAAACACAGCTTGCACCGTTTGTGCCTTGGAGGCTCTCATTGCTCCTGGGAGAGAGAGATCCTCAGCTCGCGTTCAAAAATGAGAGGAGAGGAAAGCTTCCAATGACTCAAGTATTGCGTTGCTTAACAGCAGTCAGATGTGTGGCACTTGCGACTTGTTTTGCTCAGCCTTTGCCAGTTACAAGCTTTCCTGAGCTCTTCCCAACAGGAAGAGCAGGGCCAGAGGCACCTCTCCACGGAGGCACAACACGGGTGTTTTACAGGGTAACGGGAATGTGGAGTCATCATTTATTTTTGTGGATTGAGGGAAGAGCAGGAGGCCATTGCGTGTGTGCCCACAGAGGCTGGGGAAGTGGTGGTGCTGCCCTGGGAGCCTGCAGTGCCTTGCGGAGGCGAGTCCTCCCTTGGCTGCGCTTGGGCTCGCTTTGTGGCTGCTGGTAACGTCACCACAGTCCCCGGCTATTGCTGAGTCTGGAGTAATTTTCTTTGTTGTAAACCCTTTAGGGTTTTGGTTTTGGTTCCTTTTCTTTTTTTTTCAATGAGGAGCTGTAAACAGGGTCCATTTGTGCTTAGTGCCATCCTGGCTTTGAGTTGTCTTGTTTGCATTTTGAAGAGAATATTTGAGAGCTTCTTTTGGTTTTCCTGTTGTCTTTGGAAGTGTTGGGAGTGTTACATTCTCAAAATGTAACAAAAATACCTCCTTCCTTCTGCCCCCCCTTCACCAAACCTCAAGAATTTTATCTTACTGTGTTTGAGATCTAAGGAAAAAATGTTAGTATTGCATATGCAGAGGGTTACATCAGCAAAAAAAAAATTAGGTTTAGCATTGCAGTGCTTTAAACAAGGTGCTTAGCAGCAGAGGAGTCTAGACCTTAGCTGGGGAGCAGAGACCTCCTGTAAAAAGCATGTGGAAAAATAGATGCCAAAGAACAAGAGCCATGAAAAGCAGGGAGCCAGGTAGGCACATCCCCAAGGGGCATCAGGACCCTGGAGTTTGGCCTTGTATGGGCTCCCTATGGTGAAGGGGCTCCCGATGTTACATGGTGGAGCAGTTGCATAGTTTCCTCTGTGCATTAAATACTTTAAATATTAATTGTGCCAGAGGAGAGTGGCTGTTTAGACTTCATAGGTGCTCAGGACACTTCCTGGGCAGGTTGTCTCCAGTGCTTCCATAAGTGCTTTGTTATTTATGCAGAGTGAGATAGCTCCAACAGGAGAGGGCAAGACCCATTTCAAACACCCTGGGGATGAGGGAGCTCTTCAGGTGATGGGAGACAGAGCTCAGATCTATGCTCCAGAGAAAACCAGGGAAAGTTTGCATCTGCCTCCCTTTTCTTCCAAAGGAGGGAGTATCCGAGTGGTGGAGTATCCGAGCATCGATATTAAGCATCATAGCAGCTGCAAGGAAGTTTTGTGCATGTGCTGAGGTGCCAGTGCAGGCACCCAGCAAGAGCAGGGTTATCGCTGCTCTTTGCTGACTAAACGCACTAAGTGCAGTTGCATCAGTCAGGAAATTATTTGTTTAGTGCTGAAGATCCCATAAAACATTCATCCCTCAAAGCCTGTGTAGCACAAAGCGTTCCCCAAACCTGACATATAACTTTATGGCCTTTTGCAGGCAAACATGAGTTGATGCTGTGAGTCCAAGTCAGTGGTAGTCCAGGAACTGTGTCAGTGCTGTGCTATGTTTGAGCTAATAAGCTTAAATTATGCCTTTTTTTGAGGAGTTTCTGAGATCTAGTTTCTAAGTTCCATCAGGATGAAACTTAATGCTTGCAGAAATGCAGGTTACATAAATCACCCGTGTTGAGCAGAATGATAGTGATAAGAAACATCAGTGGTGAGAAATGTCTTGAAAACAGTGGAAATGATGCAACCGTCTTGTGCTTCTGGGCTGCTTTGGATGTGCTTTCCTTAGAGCTGCACCATACTCTGGCTGATGATGCTGTGTACAATGTCTCAGGACCTTGGTGGTTTGGAGAATGAGCTTCACCTCCTCCTTGGGAGAGTAGCCTTGTGTTGTGCAAGTTAATCACTGACTTTAATCACCACTCTTGCATTTCCTTTTCTAGATGCAAATGCTGGACAAGTTTCCAATGGAAGGAGGACAGAAGGACCCTAAGCAAAGGATCATCCCCTTTCTCCCAGGTAGGTGGATGGGCTCCAGGAAAATCCATGCTGGTTTTGACATGGCAGGAGCTTTTTCCCGGTCTGTATATGAGCATACACGTGCTTTAGCTTTTATCTCCTGAACCATCTGAGCAATAGCAAGTTCTTGGCCTGTACCGTGTCCATTAAAACATCTGTATTTGTTAGCAATGTGCCCAGCAAGTGTTAAACCCTGCAGTCATTCTCTCTCCCTCCAGAAGTCATTAGTTTCCAGTAGAAGGAGGACTTCAGCTAGGCAACCCCACTTGCACAGCTTCTGCCAGGAGCAACCCCCACAGCAGCCTGCTTGTTTTTGGAAGGGGCACAGCACTGGGCTGAGTGTGGTGTGAGGCTCCCCAGGAACTGCTTAGATGCTGTTTTTCCTGTCCCATGCAACTCAAAGGGCCATCAAGTGAGAAGGAAATAAACAACTGAATCCCACATGTTAAATCAAGCTGATTGACAGCCTTGGCTTCCACCTACAATGTTTGGGACCTGTTGCCTAATGACAGGATTTCTGTGGCACGACGTGTGCCCTGCCAGCCCAGCTGAGTGTTTGTGTGCCCGAGAAGCAGATGCAGCGGTCTGTGGTAAACCTTGTGGTGCGGGGGGTTGCTTGTGACTGCCCTTTGCTGCTGCTGCTATGAGGGAAAAAAAGAACCCTAAATGTGCCTTGCAAAAAAATAACCAGCCTGAGTGGGGCCTGGGGGTCTTTTGTGCACCCATAGCTAATGGCTTTGACCACAGAGTTGTCTTTACCCACACCCCCAAGTAACTAATGGGCATATTTACAAATGTCACGGTACCATAATCGCTTCCAGTGACTGTCAGGTCTGTTCAGTGCAGTCCTTTGTGCTGTGCTTTGCCTCCTGGCTTTTCTAGTAAGGCATTTAGTGGACTTTACTTTTCTCTGACTGACATGAATAAAACCATTCATGCCCCTTTCTGAGCAAGAGAATCTTGTCTGGGTTTCCCATAGAGAGATTTGTGATTCTGGCTTGTCCTTGCATTGTAACATCAGCAAAAGCAAAGCACACCTGACATTAATACAGCAGAAGAGCCCTTGCTGCACAAGTACTCCTGCCAGCAAGGAGTGGGGAGAAAAAGTGGAAGCCAAACTGGCAAAGGGCATAACTTGGAAAAATTGAACATATGGTTTGGCCATGCTCTACTTGCAGAAAATTCCCACCAAACTGCTGCTATTTTTGGAAGACAGCAATCGTGCTTGGGAAGCCTGGTCAGAGCACCGCTTCTCGCAGCACACTCATCGATATTTGTTTCTTCTTCTTGGTGTTGAAATAGTTTCCCTTTGCTAAGAGACATGTCACTGGGATTTCCAATGGAGGAAAAAGAGAGTTGAAGTTGCTGGAAAATAAAGCCTGGCTTTTGTGTAAGAAGCCAGTTTTGGGGAGTTAGGATCACCATCTGCTAGAGGAACTTGTGCATCTGTGTGTGTCTTTTGCATAGACATTTGTACTTTTGCTCTGTTCCCCTTTTTGTAACGTGTTAAATAATACTGTTTTCAGAGGTAGTCACATGCTGACTTGGAAATCAGCTAACCCGTCCTTCTCCCAGAAATTTTTCTTAACATTTAATTTCTGCAGTGGCTTGCAATAGCTAAGAAGAGAGAGACCATTGATGTGTAGCAGCTGGCACCAGTAGCTTTACCACTGGTACTTTCAGGTGCCAGCACAGGACAAGGTATGGTTGTGGTAAGAAGTTCCCAGCACAGGATGGTGTCCTACCTCTGAGCAGGAGGTAGCCACTGGAAGGACAGATAACCTTGCATCTGCTTGTCCTCATGGGGCAGTTTCAGAAGTCCTCTTGCTTCAGGAAGGTTGTGTTATTAAGAAGTGGGAATCATGTTGCCTTCACCTTCCTGCCTTTGCTGTGCATTGTGGAGCGGTCAGGAGCTGGTGGTGGCTTTCTCCAGAACAGGACGATGAGCCATACCTCCCTAGTGAGAAGCTGTGTCTGCTTGTGAAAGAGGACTTCATTTAGGGAAGGCTCTTTTAATAGTTGCTGGCTGTGCTAAGTGATGCTTTCTGGAGCAGTTCATGGCCTTCCCAGTTTGGGATGGACATGGGTTTTGTTACTTACAGCTGAACCCAAACTTTGTCTGCTTAAGGGTGCCATCCAGATGAGCTTGGTGCAAAGAGCCTGGGTCTCTTTCTCTGCAAAATGTGTCTCTAAGTATGCTTAGACTTGCTAGGGTTTTGATTATGTTCACCTTCTGTGAGTACTGTAGTTTGCTCCCAGTCCCATTTTGAGCAATGTTTTTAGCATCTGAATTTCATTACCAGTGGAGATTTGGCTCCAGTGGCTTACTGAAAGTACACTGCTTTCTGGGAAGCCCGTTGTAAAGTAACCTTAGACATAGCGGGCACTGCAATTCTCAAAAATGTCTCCTGTGAGCCTGTATCTGCTGCAGCTCCGGCTTTCTTAGCAAATCCTTAAGTGTCCCAAACTCTGGGTCACCACCATGACCTGAAAAGGTGCCATCTGGGTTTGTTCGTCAGGCTGGTTTCCTGGAGTGGGAATTGAGTTCTGTGATTACTCCGTAGTTACAACATCCAGCCCAAAGGAACTCTGTTTGCTTTGCATTGCTTTGTTTTGTTGACGTTTGCTTTGAGGATTTGACTTCTTGGAAATTTCTAGAGACTTTTGGTCTTTGAAGGTTTCTGATGGTATCAGGAGAGGCTCTTGTAAGTACAAGTCCTTCAGCTCACTCAGCTCTTCTGAAGTGGAGTCATAAAACTGGGTCCTCCTAAGTGGAGCAGAGCAATTGCACTTGAGGTTTGGGGCCAGAGGTTGTCCCTTCCCGGTTGTTGGCACCACATTCATCCTGTAGCACAGCTTGGTGGCGTCTGGTTTTCCCTGGCAGGACGTTGCAGTTCTCCTGCACCGTGCCCGAAAAGCCTCTGCTGCCATATAGGGGAATTTGAAGTGGACTCTTGGCTACATCTGCCGACTTTGAGCGACCAGCATAGCCTGCTCGTTTTCATGTGGTGCTGAGGATGGCCCCTCGAAACAGCACTGGTGGCATCCAGCCCATGCACGGCATTGGCTGCGGTCTTTGGAGCAGAGTCAGGAGCAGCTGTCGAGGGAGGAGAGACCCATCACTGCCCGGCTGGGGAACGTCACACTGGGCAGCTCCATCCACACCAAGGGTTACGTGTTTGTTGGCTGGGACATGATGGTATGGAGACCCCCAGGAAAGAATGAACTAAGAAAACAAATGAGCTCAGTTGGGCCTGCTGTGTAAGGGCTGTGCCAGATCGTTCAGGAAACAGCTTTTATAAGGAGAGCAGAGCCTTCCAAACTTCGTACAGCCCGAGTGGCCTGGAGCAAATCCTGGCCAGGCTGCTTCGCTGGAAACGTGAGCCTCAGCAAGGAGGGGTTGCCTGACGCTGAGCTAACTTTGGCTGTAGAATTGCTTTTTAGGAAGCTTTAGCTACGGACAATAGTGAACTCCCAAGAAGGGAGGAGGAGAACGATCAGTGAGATCATTTTCAAAAGCAGAATGACACCTCCTTTCTACTCCCTTCCCAACCTGCTCAGCGCGGGCATCAGTGCTGCCCTCATGCTTTGGGGCTTTTCTCCCAGAACAGCTGTGGGGATGGCAATAGTTCCCCACAAAGGTCCTGTGAAGGAGATGGAGGACAACTAATCCGTTTTCCTGCTGCAGTACCTGACTTTACCCAGTCCTGTTGCATCTTCATCAGCGCTGGAGATGAGACAATGGTCCTAATTACTATTTTCTGCTCTGGCAAGATGGGCATCTCTCCTGTAGCACTATTCTGTGGACAGTCCCACACTAGCTTGCGGCCCATAATCAGCACAGTTGCCTTTTCTGTAGGTTTTCAGCCAAGCCTGCTGATGTGCAGACAGGATTACCCCAGGCTGAGTGCTGTGCTGGAGCAGTTGCTCTGCTTCTGACCTTTGAGCTGTCTTTAAACAACCTACCTTAGTTTTTCTCCACTGCGTGGCACTTTAGGCCATAGAAGCAATGACCTTGGGAATGTTTTACTCCTGCTGCAGCAGGATCTCAAACTCTGAGAGTGGAAGAGGCTGTCTTGATAGGGGCACTGTTTAATTTGGCTTCATTTCACAACATATGGGACTCCATGCTTATGCTATACCCAGGACAGCCCCCGAGGCACTGCTGGTCCCTCTCCTTTTTGCCAGGATATACGCATAGTGCAGGACTTTGCCAGACAGATGCTAAGTGCAGAGCTGCTTGAGACACCATCTCCCACGCCTGCTTCCCCATCCTCAGAATAGCCCACGTAACTGGCTGCTCTGTGGGCTGGAACTAATTATGTGTACATTTGGGGCTGCCTTTTTTGAAGTGAGTTTGGAACCAGTGCCAGAGAAAATCTGGATGTGATTTGAAAGGTGCAGAGAAGTGAATTCTTTCCGAGACTATGAGGTGGGGCAAGAGTGAGGGGAGTCCTTCAGGGTAAAGCAAGAGGCACAGATGGTTTTCCACTCTTGAAATACCTGGCTTGGTTCGCAGCTGTGATCGGCCCAGTGACTGCTTCAGGTTCTCTGTCCCTCCAGCTTGCTGGGGATCCAGTAGCAGCCTTTGGCTCAAGAGGAGCCTCAGCCATTTTGCTGGTTGAAATGCCTCTGTCTTGGTTTTTTTTCAGCTCCTTCCTCCCCAGTATAACTTCAGCTCTGCCTGGAAGATTCACATGGGAGGGAAGACTTTGCAGAGCCCTACCTGTTTGGAGAGATTAACCCCTGTTTTGGCCTGCCTGCTTTATCTCAGACGGCTGGAGATCCAAATTCCTTATCAGCCTTTTCCCCAAGCTCTCCCCTGACACTCTGTAGTCCTTGATGAATGGCTGAGGCAGTGGGGGCCGTGTTGCATGCATCATTTTGCATCCCCCCCCTCCGGAGCTGCTGCTGCACCCTTTGCTCTCGGTCAATCAGACAAAGCAAGGAAGCCTTGAGCCACAAAAGGGGGTTTCTTCCAGTCCTGGGAGAGCAGAAGT